GGGGGCGGAGGGGGGGGGGGGGGGGGGGGGGGGTATAAAATTCAGTATAGGGACTCAGCCAATGGGTATTCCCTATTTTGATCATTGTTGGTTTTCTTGTTGAAAAATTAGCAGTAAACTTTTATTTATTTTCAAGTTAGTCGCGTCCGTCAATTCTATCGACACCAAAGTCGCGTCTGTCAATTCTATCGACACCACTAACGGAATGTGGACATGGATTGATTAATGAAATAATAAATGAAATGTAGTACAATTACACAATGTTATGTATTAGCTCACATATACCATAAAGAAAAAATAAACAATAACAACAACAACAATAATCGTGTATGATTTAACTTACATGAGCTTGTAATTGCTAAATTCATGGACACTTTCATTGGGTGGATGAGGCTGAGTTTTATTGATTCATTGTGTTACTTTTTGGCTGTTTTTTCTATTTCCATAATATTTTATGGCATTATAAATATTTTATATGAGTAGAAGGGTAGAGCAGTCTTAATAGTGTTAATTTTATGAAGAGTAAAGGGTAATTTGTTAGCACCACATTTGTATAATTGCACTTGAGATCTATTTGGGCAGAAGCCATCCAAAACACCATCAGTTAACTGGAAAAATTAAGGAATCAACATCCAATAAAATCATCTGAAACACTGTCTGAAAGTACCGTCCAAAAAGATATCAATATGCAATAAAATGTTGTGGTAGCAGATAGTTCAAAAAAATTTCCTAATTAACTAATAGTGTTTTGAAGGGTTTCGTCCAGATGGACATTAGGTGTAAATTTATGAAAGGTTAATGACCTTCATTGGCACAAAATGAAGAATAGGGCAAAGTTTGTAAAAAATAAAAAAATTAGGAACCGCTGGTGCAATTTTCCCTTTATCATATCTACTATTGAATAGTTTATTCTATTTAGATTGTTAACTCTCATTTTTGAACCTTATAAATATAGGTTCGTTGTTATAATAAAATTTACACAAGTTTATCAACTCTCTTTATTATTCTCTTATATTTCTCTTATATTCTTTAGTTTTATACCATGTTATTAACATAAATAAATTCATCCAAAATAGAGAGAAGTTGAGATCAACAATTCAGAAATTTGCAAGTATTGAACATCTGGCGCAATTCTAATCAAAGAATTGATATCTCAATGTTACGCAGTCCGATTATCATGAAATTTGGGGAAAACATTCGAAACTTATTTTTCTTGAAATTCAACGATTAAGATCAAAATCTAACGGTTTATTCTTGAAAAAATAGATATGTGAACGATAGTGAATTTTTTAAGTATTACACATTTAAAAAAAAAAAAAAATTTGATTAATAGCAGAAACCCCCCTAAAAATATTTCTATGTGCGATATATTCCAACCATATTGGAAATTGCAAAAACCACCCCATTTGAAACCTTTTGTGCGGAAACCCCTCAACTGTCAAAATTCGTTAGTTTAAATGTTAAAAAAAAAAAAAAATAGTAATAATAATAAATAAATAAATAAATACCAAAATTGAAAAGGAATAATTACAATTGCAATCCCAACATTTTTTTTTTTAATGCATCACCTACAACCTCGAACCTTTAAAACTTTATACCTACGACCCCCGCACTTCACTTCATCTCTTTCACAGGTAAGCCACCGTTGTTTCAATAGGAAATTCATAAATATTGTTTTCAACTCGGAAAAATTCCTTTCATGATCCAGTCATCCATTCGTTACACCATCATAATCACTGCCTCATTGTCGGCACCACTGCGCAACTCAGGTTTCTATCCCAAAACACATGCACAGAGAAGTTTACAAAAATTCAGACGGTTTAATTTATAAGTTCCCAAAAAAGGACATCAAATTACTTGATTTCTGTTGATATCTTGCAATGACTTATATTGATTTCTACTTAATTAGTTGTGGGACGGCTTGTGGTGGGAAAGATTTGGAAATTTTATGGTGATCGATTTCTGCTAAATTAGTGATGGAAATTTTGCTCGATAAATTCAGAGTAGCTAAACCACGAAATTCAGATTTTGCAGGTTAAACAAGCGCACAGAGAAATTTTGTTTCGAGAAGTTTGTATCCCAAACGATGTTTGTTCTGGGTTTGGTTTTGGTTTTGGGGTGGGTGGGATGATGAAGATAACTTTTGGTTTAATTTGCAAAGAAAAAGTATGGTACTGCTATTGCAATTATTTCCATTAGTTTAACGTTTTTAACTGTTAAACTAATGGACTGGACGGTAAGTGGTTTTCGCACAAAGAAGGTTCACAAAAGGTTCCAAATAGGGGTATTAGAATGAAAAAGAACGTTCGAACAACTATGTTGTTCAAATTCGATAATGCTTTTTGGAATGCTGCTTCGCAAGCAGAACAGATGATTATTTTCTACCATTTTCAATAGATAGGAGGTATATCGCATATGATAATATTTCTAGAGCATTTTCTGCTATTAATCATTTTTTTTAAAATTTACATCTTTGATTAATATAAGATTTGTCAACTATTCATGAGTATGTAAAGCCTTCAAATCCAAGTAAGTCTATTATTTAAAGTCATTTTTATTTTATTATCATATTTTCGAAATCATTTAATTATGTATTCAACCATGTCAATGCTTCCAAAAAAGCATAAATTTATGTTATATATTGTTGATTGTGAAGAATTGTGAAAGCCCAAGATTAACTAATTAAGAGGGTGTTGAATTGGTTTATAAAATTTTTTCGAAAAATTGATTCAAATTCAATCAAGTTCGAAATTAGAAGATTAATCAAACAAAATGCACAAATACGAAAGTAGTAAGTAAGAGGGAAGAGAGAGTACAAACGACATAATTGTGAAAGATCGATCCAAAACGATGATCTAGGTCCTCCGTTACCAAGTTTTTTGGTTGAGCTTTGCCTTTTCACTATATCGATTAGCTCATTTACAATGCTTTCGAGACTTACAAACAAGGAACACCGATTTTTATTCAATGTTGAGCTTTACGTGACCTCAATATGACCTACAAATTTGATAATAAATGATTTTACAAT